GCTGCTCAGCGAGTGGGCCTACTCGCTGCACCGCTCACGGTTCCCCGACTACCTCAAGGTGAAGAACGACCTTAACCAGTTCACCCAGAGGATCATCCGTGAGAAGAAGGAGGCTCTGAAGAAGAACGAGCCCCTCCCGCAACGGAGGCGGCAGGCCTTTCTGGACCACATGCTGTCCTCTCCAGAGGGGGCAGCGCTTAATGATGAGGAGCTCGCCGAAGAGGTCAAGACCTTCGTTATGATAGCCTCGGGGTCCTCCATGGACACCCTGACCTTCTTCATCTACATGCTAGCCATCCGCCAGGACGTACAAGACAAAGTTAGACAAGTAAGTTACACCGAGGGGCCTCATCTCTCTGAACAACTGTACACCAGATTGCCAATTTTGCCAGATTGCTCGTGAACGTATTAGTAATTTTGTACATGAAAGCAATAAATAGGCAAATCGCACCTCTTTCACCCTGTAATAAGGAATGCGCAATACTTTTTACCCCAAATTTGACGTTTGCCAAAGATTATCAGAGTTGGCTAGGGTGTAGACCACATTGCTCAAGTAAAAATTCCTTTGTAGTGCAACACAGAGAGCGCGGAAAACGTTTATCTAGTCTAAACCATATCAGATGAGATATAGTATATGGCCCCGAAACTAGCTCGAGACTTGCAGAGTTCTTTTCCGTCATTAGCCAAGTTCTTTTCCACACGTAGGTTTTCATACATTTATTTACAATGACTTACCTTTCAAGGAACGCTTTTCGTTTGCAGGAGCTGGACGACATCCTTGGTGACGACCGCGGGCGCCTCGTGGAGCACTCGGACCTCGCCCACATGCAGTACACGGAGCGGGCGATCAAGGAGACGCTGCGGTACTTTAGCGTCGTGCCCGGGTTCGCGCGGACCGTCACCGAAGACTTGCCCTTGCCGTCAGGCTTCACCATCCCGCGAGGTTGTCACGTGGCCTTCTGGCTGCCCTACGTGCACCGGAACGCCGAGTGGTTCCCGGAGCCGGACAAGTTCGACCCGGACCGCTTCCTGCCGGACAACTCACGCGGCCGCCACCCCTTCGCCTTCGTGCCGTTCAGCGCCGGGCCCAGGAACTGCATCGGCCAGCGGTACGCCATGATGTTCCTCAAGACGGTGGCGGCCGCCATCGTGCCGCGGCTGCGGTTCGAGGTCCCCGACGACGGCCCCAAGCGCCTCGAGGACGTCCCGCTCACGATGAACCTCACCGTGTCCGTGCGGGGAGGTGCCAACATTCTGGTTCTCCGGCGGTGACACCCTTCCTGAAATCAAACGTCAAAATTTGGCCAAATTCATGTTGATTCCCTGGGATTTTATCACTTAAATCAATCGACGTTGATTCATTCGATCTTGGTACCAGATCGACGTCAGTTCGAAATTCCATTTCTAACTGGCAAGGCCAGACTAAAGAAAGAGTCTTCGACTTGAGCCGCCAGGGCCCACACAGCAGGTCCAGCGCGGGTGCACGACTCGACGCATGACTGCAGAAGTGGCGTATCTGTGAAGAGGCGCGCAACACTGGCGGATCTGGGAAGGGACGGTCATCACCGGCGTATCTGCTTTTTCGGCTGATCTGCACAGTCGACTTTGGAGGCCTATTGCTCATCGTAAGCATGTCGTACAGTATTGAATGATACCTCATTGCAATGTTTATATCCTCGTGATTGAGTTTTGATATCCCTCAATACTATACGACATACCTACGATGAGCAATAGGCCTCCAAAGTAGACTGTGCAGATCAACCGAAAAGCGGATACGCCTGTGATGACCGTCCCTTCCTAGATGCGCCAGTGTTGGCCGGGCCGGTGTCAACGAGACATAGTACTCCCGGGCCCAGGGACCCCCCAGAGTACATAATCCCTAGGGCAGTTGTGCTCCGCCACCTCAAGAGGGGGGGGGGAGTACATTGGCCCTAGGGATTATGTACTCCAGGGGGGAGTGCACGGTCCGTAGGGCAGTTGTACTCCCCCGATTTTTTAAAAAGGCGGTGCAAGTGCTATCTTTGAACGTCAATATTTGGCATTCGTCAACCAGTTTATACAGTGAGGAGTCATGGAAACGTGTCAGATAAACAAGCTGGGCCGGCCCGCTATTCCACCAAACCAAGTTGCCAGCTCCGCTTCGCTCCACCGGCAACTCAGTTCGGCAGGGACAGGGCCCAGCTTAGCCTGCCGGCGGCATTTGGCACGGGCCTTCGCCCCCGTTTTAACGAATTCAGTTGAAACAACCACTTCTGCCCAGTATATCTTTGCCGTCTCCTTCGTTAATAAAACTTAACATCTTGAAATTCTCTCAGTACGCTGTACTGTGCCGTAGTTTCTAGAATATTTGCATATTTTTTTTTGGTCAAACTCCTCTTAATTTATTGACGTTAGCTTTCGGGACCAATAACGCATTAATTGCAGAAGGTACTTAATATACTGGCGGGCATGTTCTAATGACTCCGAATGACTCCGAGCGTGTCCGCTTTGATTTCTCTATGATAAGAAGTAATAGCATACAAGGATCTTGTAAAATACAACAGAACAACGAAAGAAAATGATCGGTTTTGCATGGAAGTGGACAAATATCAGCTACAATCTGTAAAATGCTTACGAACTTAATGCTTTGCAACGTTACGAACAATTTTTGTGCTTTGCATTGCAAAGAAATTGTATATTGCACAGCGATTGTTTGCAAGGCTAGGAAGGTTCTTCCGAAAAATCGGTTTGCATAACGAACCTATTGTTCGACAACAATTTACAGTGCATGCAGACAGTATCGAGAGTACAGGTAACAGTTACTAGAGATAGACGCATTTGGAGACAGGGGACAGCTAAAGAACCTCTTAAGGGACAGCTACAGACATGAGAGCTACAGGGGCATTGAATGTATACTTAACCTTCCGACGGTCTGGGGCACATTTTGAAAATTTCTGAA